TCAGGGTGCAGGTCACGAAGGCTGGTAAATCACGGCCCAGTTTCGGAGCCCTTCAAGTGACAAGCTGCTTAAGCTTAATTCATGATGTTCCTGGAGGGGTTCATATATTCTGCCTGTTGACCACTCTTTTTGCAGGGTGATGCTGGATTGTGCAAGGGTGGCAAGTTGTCAGACTGAAACATTGAAGAGCCAACACGATGAATGCAAGTGCTCCTATTTGGGTGTGTTTGTGTTTGTGTGTGTGGGATCTGTGTTTTGGTTGTTTGGTTTCTGTGTAATTAGTTGGGCCGCCCCAAGTCCATGCGTTTGGCTCACCTGCAAGGATTGACAAGTAAATCCAAAGCTGTTCCTAGAGGAAAGTCTGCCCGTCCCTTTCAGTCAGCTGCTAGGGTACTAGGATGCGTTTTCATCGTTTGCGTTGTTCCTGCCTCGGACTTCCAAGGCCAAATATCAATCAGGGCGTGCCTTGTCAAACAAGATGATGCATGGGGTTGCGACAAGGGTTTTGTCATGCTTGCTTCAGCTCCCAGCAAGATAGAGCAACCAATTTCAATTTCCGCTATCCGTTTACTTGCCCCGCAACCCTGCCACAACCCTACCAACTGACAGCTTACAACTGAAACGGAGCTGTTGACCGAGTTGCAACTTTTTGTTCCCCATACTTTTTGTGTTTGTCGTGTTGTTTCCCATTGGGTTTCCAACAAACAAAACACACATACACAAGCTGTCTCTTTTCGCCATGGAAAACCACCGATTCTTCATAATAGGGCACTTGTTAGGACAAACAACACGTGGGTGGCCGGGGGCAAGCTAAATGATCACTTTAGCTGACCCTGGTTGTACTGTAGCTCGCTTCCCTAAAGGCGACCTTGGAACCTTTTCTTGTTTTTCCGAAATTTGTTTAAGCTCGAATTTCCAGGTCCTGGCCAGTGAGGCATGGGTTTTTTCAGGCAGGTCACGTGGAGGTTCACGTGTTCCGAGGCCCGATTTCTTGCCGCTCCTCACGGCGTCTGCGCAGCATCTCGGCGAAAGTACCGACGGGAGGGTTCTAGCGCCGCGATCGCATGGGACTAGGGCGATACTCTCCCTCAACATGGAGCTTGATGGAGGGTTCCTGGAAGGCGATCTTCCTTCAACAGGGAACAAATGGATTTGGACGGTCTTTTTGGTTATGCTGGAAAAAGCCAACCCAAAAAAGGGAAGGGAGGGGGATGGAGGGTTCCTGGAAGACCATCTTCCTTTAACAGAGACCTCTGGTGGAAAACATGTTAGCAGACTGCAGGGTAGTTGAAACGGAGATTTGTGCAAATATCTTGAAAATCTTGAAAAATAGAACAGGCACCACACGGACTTGCGCAATCCCAAGAGCGCATGTTTGAAACCAGCCGGTTGAAACGGGCGAAATGTTTGACTTCGAAACCTTGGAGCTCAGCGATCCGATTGCGTGATGTAGGTCCCTTAGGACCCAATGCACATTTCTTTCAAGCTTTGGCATAGTGCCTCAATCAGATGTTCACAGCCCTATTATTTAAAAAAAAAATGCTCAGGCGATATCCCCAACCTTGTGGAACCCTGGTGGAACCCTGGTGCAACTCTGGTGGAACCCTGGTGGAACTCTGGTGGAACTCTGGTGGAACCTTACCTCAGGGCCGCCCCGGACCACCACGGAGCCTATCTGGGCTGAGACCCCAAAGCTTTCAGCTGTTGGGGAATAATAATCCTTTTTTGGCTTAAAAAAAACAAAAACCATTTTTGTTTTGGCTGCAATTGGAAAAAAAGAAAAAAGCCGGCTGGAGCCGTCGTACTTGGATAGAGGGACCCGGTCTGGGCCAGAGGGAGTCGGAGGGAGCCTTTGCGGCTGGTCGGGTCGAGTCCTCAACGGGTTTGCGCCAGTTTGGTTATTTTTCTTGGCCCATCCCCTTCTAGGTTTTTTAGCAGTGCCCTTTTGTTCCCCTGAAATAGACTACAAAAAAAGGGTACCATTATATTCTAACCTCTCGACTGGAGGACGTAGAAGTGGTTGGGACCAGTTTGAATACTTTTCTCGGCCCATCCTCTTGATCGCAAGCGAGATTCGGTTCTTTGACCTTGGGACAACTTGGGTGACAGGCAGTTGATACTCGAAGCCTCGACTCCTAAGCGCAAAAAAGGTCCGTTCGCATTTCGGGTCCAGTTGCCCGGCCCCGTACAAGTTCCCACTTTGGTTTGGGGGGTTTCCCCACTAAACATGGCAGCCAACCCATCACCACGCAGGAATCAATGCGCCGTATAAATGTTTTTCTTTGTTCAAGACCCAGGGGAATCAGTGTTTTGTTTTCTTTTTCTTTGTTCAAGATCCAGGAATCAATGCGCCGTATAAGTTATAGTTTGCCAAGACTAAAGTAACTCTCGACCAGGCTAAATTCGCCACGGATCCCAACTCCCTGAACCAAGGCTAAGCCAACACAAGACCACTACTATTTTGTAGGGAAACTCATATATATATATATATATCTATGTATGGCCGTGTCCTTTTTTGAGGGTACCCCATGAAACAACACCATCTTGGTGGCCTCCTAACAACGGTGGGTTGAGCCTGGTCTATGTGGAGCGAACCTGATTTAAAAAAAAAAGGAAGAAAAGAAAAAAACGTGCCGAACAGATTGCAGCAAAGACCTCCTGGGTGAAGGATAGGAACACCAGCATACGCAGCATAGACCCCTCCACCTGATTGGATTCTTGGACTGGTGGACGCATGGAAACTCCGAAAAGGTTACTCAAGTGATAAGGGCACTTGGGGGTCCAAGCAACTTCGTAAGTATAGGTTATAACCAACACCAGTTACAACCATGGTTTGTTTGCACCTACTTACCAAGTTGGTTGAACATCCAAATAGCGATGTTGCCCCTGGCAAAGGCCTGTACCCAAATCGGTTTGAACCTTTCGTGTCACGGCACGTAGGCTGGGCGCTCCCAGCTGGGCTGCGGCCTGCCGCGGCGCGCGCCTCGCGGCGCTGCGCGCGCGGTGTCAGCACGCGCCAGGCCGCTGGCCGATTCGGGGGGGGGGGGGGGTTCGCGGTTTGTTGGAACCAGATGTTGTGTGTGTGTGTGTGTTTTAATCATGTAGGTAGGTACCTTGGTCTTCTATATTTTTCCATGCTTATCGTCTAGTTTGATCATTTGGTTTTCCCGTGTTGGTCCTTTACTTTGCCACATAAAGCAAGTCCATCTAAATGACCCGCTTCTGTTCGTCAGGCATTCAGATGTTCTCCGTGCCAAGTTAGCAGGGTATGGCAAACTGTCATGCACAAGCCCGTGTATGTAGTATGTGTATTGCGTATGATACCTCCATGATTTATATATGTAACATACTATACGGTATGCATGCATAGTTCATACGTCTCAATCACATGGTAGCATCAGCGAGGACTATAAGCGAAAACTGTGTCAAGTTACTTGCCCCAATTGTGAAGGAGGGCCCTGCCTCACCTCACGGAGTCAGTTAAGTGATTGAGCCACTTTTTGGACGAATTGCTGTCCGTTTGTTTGGTGGTTGTCCGAAATCCCCTTGAGCAAGAGTCTGTGTGCGTATCTTGGGGAACCCCTTTTGGTTGGTTTCAAGGGAAACCAAAAGGAAAGCTATCATTTTTGGGGTCACCCTTTGACACATACCCGAGTCGTATTCTCCAGATTTCCATTTCTCTTCTTGTTTCCGAGGGGACGTCAGCAACTGGCTGGACTTTGCGGAGTTCCAGTGGTCACAGCGCCTTGGCAGGGCAAGTGCGTACGACCCGCTGATTTAGAGCCACACAGTGCACGCTTCTCCCAGCTTCTCGGCTTGGATTATGTCAAAAGAGGCGCGGTGCCACGTACTTTTACCAAACAAGAGCCATGAAAGGCCATGCTCTTGGTCCTGTATCGCGAGTAAACTCTCTTTGCAAGGTGCATACAATGACGAAAAGCCCAGCGCGACGGGGCCTGAAGCAGGGCCTGATTTGAATTGTTCTCAAGGTGCATTCTTGCTTGGGCCTTGTTTGTTTCTAGCAGGCTGAGTAATACGTATTTTGTTGTTCTTTGTGTGGGTTTTGATGGATTCGAACGTGAGTTGCGTACAGGTTGCCCGTAGCAGCCGGTTAGAAATACATCGTATCGTTGAATCCTCGAACGTATTGCCACGCTTTGCTTTCACGACCCGCACAAAGCGGTGAGAATCTGTGCATGTTCGGATGGGCAATGGCGCTTCCGTTATTCCTCGCCCTGCACCTGGCAGTAGTCAGCATTTCATATGTCATTCTGGCTCCTCCCCAAGACCGGCCTCCACAGTTTTGACTTCTGTTGCAGTATAGTGAGGAGGTTGCATCGGGCCATTTCTTGTGCACTGCCCAACTGGTTCCCATTTGGCACGAGGAAAATCATTATACCAAGCAGGATGACATCGGGCGAATTTCCCTTGAAATTGTTGAATGACCAGACGCCTGGATCTCTCTTTTTTTGATTGGACATGCATACATCTAGCTGTCATGGACCCCTAGGATGCACCGAACTGCTAGACTGTCATGCACCCCTGCCTTTCTAAGCGGCTTCTCCACAAAGAATGGTCTTTCTACCAGGGCCTTTGGTTGCAACTCCTCAGATGCCGGGTCCGGGATTTGTCCTTGAATGCGGGAAGGTTTATGAATGAAATCCAGAGGTTACATGACAGGATTGGAGTTTGACCATGGCACAGCCGTCACACACCTCCTTTTGACAGGGATTGGCGTGTCTCGGGGAGTAATGAGTAGGAACAGTTCTATGCAGAACCGAAGGCCCCCCAGAACCCCTCAGAACGCGGGCGGACCCTCGTGATGAATAGCTGGCAAGCGGGGGGGTTATTTGGGTATTCTGGGGTAGGTGCACCAGTGCACCACCCATTTTAGATTATTTTAGTGGGGATTGGGATGTTCACTGGGGGTACGGGGTTTTGACCCATAGCTATTTATCATGGCTCAACATGAATGCGCCCTCGCAGATCGCTTGGCTCAAGCCATCTCGGACTTCCGTCGAGCCTTCGATGCTTCTGCTGCCGCTGTGCACCGCCGCCCTGGGCGCTGTGGCCGGGTTTCTCCTGGCCACTACCAGGCAGCGGCCACGGAAGTACGGGCGGTTCGCGCCTGGGACCAGACATGGCGCGTGTTTGTTTGTTTTTTTCCCCGGAGGATGGCCGTTGTTGAGGTCGATGTAAAGGGAAAGGCAAGGGTGTTTAGGTGGCTTACAGGGAATTCAAAAGGACACCGCAAATGTTCGAGGGTCGCCCGAAATTGAGCCAGACAGCCAGACCTGAAGCCCGGCGCAAGGAGAGCGTCGCCAGTATCCAGAAGAACCTGCGGACGGATGCATCCAAGGCAGTGCCAAGAGCCAGTGCTTCAGTTGCTCCATCAGCAGGTGCTGCGATATGGGTATGGGTCAAAATGAAGCCACCAACGGACCGCAGGTTTTGGTCCATGTTTCCACTAACCAGGGTTCCATTGTGGGTACATAGTTTTGACCCAGAGTCATATATGGCCGAGCAGCTAAGCATATTCTTGCAGGGGTTATCATCAAGTTTTGCCTCCAGGGGGATATTTCAAGCACCTTGCCCCTCAGCCTCTCGAGAATCCCGGAACAGCAACAGTCAGATTAAAAAGTTTGACGAGTTTGAGGACCGGTTAGGCAACCTTTGGCTCACTTGCAACCAAACCGAATCGTCCTTTTAACCTGTTGGTTTCCCGTGTTTGGTCCATATGGCAATGGTTCAACACCATTGGTGCCATTTTGGGACAGGTGCACCACCCGTTTCAGTCTATTTTAGAGGGGATTGGGATGTTCACTGGGGGTACGGGGTTTTGACCAATGGCCATATTTAGTCAAGGTTTCAAAGCGTGATCACCTTGTAGTTCCAGCTCCTCAGGGCAAGTGACTCGGGGTTTCAACCCATCGGACGAAGCGACTGTGACAACGATCACCCGCGTTGCCCTGACTCCGACTTGGATGGTTGGGCCCTAGGGTGGCTTACTCACTTCCTTTGTTCATCAACTTTAAACTTTTGGGGAAGACCATTTTAGTGGTAAACATAAAGTTTGAACTGTTTTTGGGCCATCCACTCAGCAAGTGAGAACTTTGAGAATGGAATAATCAATGCCGAGCTCCATGTAAGGACGGACCCGCCAAAGCTTTCGGCCCCTGACCCGCCCCCTCCGGGCCGACGGCTCCGGCGCGACGGCTCTGGCGCGGCTCGCGCGGCTTTCGCCAGGCCACGGTGAAGGTGGAAAGCGCGAAGCAGCTGCAGGACGGGGTCGAATTCCGATGGTTGGGAGCGCCTTTGGCTGTAGAGTTTTAAGACTTTCGTGAGGAATTCGCCAATCGACTTCTCTTCTAGGGTTCAGAATGACCGAAGGGTTCATAGGGTTCGAAACCTGGGGTTCAACCCAGGTTCATATATGCAGCCGGTAGTAAGATGACTTAAGCTCACTCATCTTCCCACGCGCAGTTGAGTGCATGCCCCGTTTCTGGTCCACCGCTGTGCCAAAGAAGTGGAGGACCAAGCGCGCAGCCTTGCCAGCTGTTTCCAAGGGTTTGCACACGCACCATGTGATGTTGCCTGGAGGCCGAACTGGTACAAACATTTGTGCTCGAAGTATGTTCGAACAACGTCCGGACGTTTTTGGGAGCGAACGACTTGACTTAGTAGCGACTAGAATTTGGGTAGTTAATCAAGCTCGGTTGCGCGGTCGAAACGCGGGGCAATTTTCTGGCCAAGCCGTCTTCAAAACTGGTCCTACTTGGTGCTTTCTAATTGGGCAGAAAAATGCTTGAGCTCCGTTCAAAAAGGTGTATCCTTTAAGGCGGTGTATCACATCCTTTAACATCTCTTAACTAAGTGAGGCCTCAAGGTGAGGCTAAGGAAGTTGACATCCCCCATCCAATCCTCTTATCTTCACCAAGTGAGGCTAAGGAAGGCCCCCTGTTCCGGCCTGAGCTCTAAACCCCTAAGCCCCTAAACCCCTAAACCCCTAAAACCCCTAAACCCCTAAACCCCACCCCTAAACCGCTGGAAGGTCCCCTGTTCCGGGCTTCCCTGGAACCCTTCAATCCATCTCGGGCGCAGAAGCTCCGCTCCGATGGCTTGCTGGGCAAGCGCTGGCCGGTGCAGATGCGCTGCTCCAACGGCGCCGCCAAGAGCGGCGGCTCGGCTGGGCCCTGACGCAGCCTGAGGTTTCTCCCATGTTCCTCCCAAAAACAACGTAGCTTTACCAAAGGGTCCTCTACATCAGCTGGTAGATGGGTATGTTTGCAAGTCGCAGTGGCCCACATCTTGGCGCAAATCTGGTGTCGTCTGGTGTAAAGTTGACCCAGGATTTATACATCGTCGCGTTATTAAGGGGGTGGTCCCTCCAAAAGTGGTCTGAACCCCCACTAAAATAATTGGGGCACCCCCCAATGCAAATCATCCATTTTTTTTGATTTGGTCCGGGGTCAACGTTATCATGTTCAACTTGTTGCAGAGGGGTCGTTAGAGCAACCAAGTTCTGAGGTGTGGAACTGCTTGAGTCCAAGGAACCGGCACCCAAGGGGAAATTTGAGAAACACATATCCCATATATGTGGTCACCTTTCACTTGGGGACCTTTCAGCGCTTTCAGTTCAAGCTTGACTCAGCATCGTGCTGATTTTGAATGGGTTGCAAGCATGGCGCGTGGCTTATGGATGCAGAACCGAAGTCCACGTTCGGCCAAGGAAGGCCGTTGGAAGGGACCCGGGATCGTTTTGCGGAAGTCTTGACGGCATACATGCGCTGTGGGTGTGCGTTTTGTGGTGGACCCCCAAGCATGGTGGTGCTCTTTCTGGTGAACTGCCTCAAAACCACCAAAAGGGTCTCAGACGGTACCCGCATAAGGCAACAAACCCGCTTGGAAGCGGAAGTCCAGCTGCGCTGTGTCTTCGAGCTCGAAGAGCGAGGGCAACCCTACCCGTAGGGTATACCGCTGACGTGTTTTGTTGCACCCCAAGCTCCTCCTCAGCATTGCCTGCATCACCTGCACGCAGGCCGGCCCAAACACTTGGACCCCAAAACCCCGGACCTCCCTGGCCTTGCGACGGGCTTCTGATGCCACGTTGCCCGACTGTCAAAAACACTGTAAACACTGTGCAAATCGCCCCAGACAGTCGCCAGCATCCCGCCAACATCCTCTGCATCTTCGCAAACTTCGCCAGCATCCTTCCCTGCATCACCAGCATCTGGGCGTTCCAGCATCCCTTACATCCCCTGCATCCCCTGCATCGCTGAAACCCTTCAAAAATGGCCGCATGAGAGTAGGTTTTGGCGGTAGGCAGACATGGCGGGCAAGTCTGCGATCGAGTGGGCGTTTTTTCTTGCGCAAGTGCGGCCGCCGCCGCTGTGCGGAAAACGTCGCGGATACCGTGTTTTCTGCATTTTTCCACCGGTTTCTGTGGGGCTGGGACGGGCTGCTGGGGATGCATTTTGTCTGATTGGCTTTCGGTGTGAGACACGTGCGGTGCGCGCGCCGCAAGCAAGCGCCGGATGCAAGCAGGCACATGCGCTCAAGCTAGGGTGGGTGAGTGCATGCTCAGTGTCAGGGGGGTTGGGCAAGAAACCTTGCAGCCTCTTGTGCGTGTGGGTTTGCAGCGAGCGTGTGCTTGGGTGGTCCGGAGGTCAGGCTCTGAAACCAGGTCCCGCCTAAACAGAGTTCTTCTTAGTGCTGCCCATCTCACCTGTCCGACCGGCCAGCGCAGCTGGTGATGGCGAAGCCCCAGGATTACCAATCGATTTGTTGGGCTCCAACCCTGCCCCCCCCCAAGACCCGAATCGCCCCCGCAGGCAAGCTGCTCCACTTCATCCGCCACGGCCAGGGGCGGCTCGGTGAGCTTTGCCCCACCCCCCCCCCCATCCGAAAGGCAATGATTGTTTTTCAAGCTCAAAACCCCAAATATGAGGGTCTTGCACCCTGAAAGGCCTCGTTATGTGGAAAAGTGGGCCAGGTTCAAAAACAGGGTACCATCCGCAAGAATGATGCCTTGTCGGCAGGCATGATGCTTTTGGCAAGTTGAAAAACTGCTTACTTCATGTGGTGTCAAGGGAGAAACATTGGCAGCCCTGAAGGCGTTGACGTAAAATATGAAGTCCCAATGAAGGATCGCCAGGTTCCCAATCAAATCGCATGTGGTGATTCCTGGCAACCGTGTGGGTGCCCACGCCTCAAGGATGACATCGATTCCAAATCGATTCCATGGTGGTAGTAAAATCCCGCAGTCATTGCTCACTGTTTGGGTAAAGAGTCATTTGGGCTGAAAAAACAACCCCGCGCCTTTTCGTTATGTAAGGGGCCGTCCCTTAACTTGTTTCGCAGGCCAAAACCATTGTAAACCGATACAGAGGGAGAAAAAGAAAAAAAACGATACCCCCCGAAGCCATGAAGACAAACATCAGGTCCAAGTTGTTGTTGCAAACCAAGATTGCGGAATCATAAATTTGCAGGGCCCAAGCCGATACCCAAACCGAGGCCCAACCGATACCCAACTCATTGGCCGCCATGCCGAATCCAACCAGCTGCCCTGCAGCCTTCCCTGAGCTGCCAAAATGTACTTTGTGCGCTACATTTGTACTGAAAAGTTGCGGCTTTCCAGCTGGAGCTGGGAGCTGGCAGGGTGTACTTCGCATACTAGACTTGTACGGAAAATTCGAGCTAGAGCTGCCAAAACACTGCAAACCGATGCAGAAAAACACCGATACTGACCGAGACTAGGGCATAAGGACCACGGGGTTGTTTGGCCTTTTTCCCTGTTGGTCGTAAAGTTTTTCTCTTTGAGCAAGGGCCAAAACCCGGGGATTGATGAAGGCCAAAGGTCCAATGAGCAAAGGCCAAATGAGTCACTTGCTCAAAACCCGGGGATTGATGAAGGTTAAGGGGCAGTCCCAGCCTGAAATAGTTGCGTTATCCGCCTTCTTATTTTTTTACACGGTTCTGGGTAGACCGGTCTAATACCGGGCTTTGATTGTGGCTCAAATGAGCTTGCCTACTTTCATTGGGTGCGTGTGGGCTTTCGTTTTTGCGGGCATCCTTTCCTTTGAATCTCCTCTGAATCTCCTTCCAGTTTTGGAAAATTCGGTGGCCTTTCAGCTACAGGGTCTTTGATGCCTGCGGGCCTTCGCTTTGCTGAAGCTGCGTGGCCGCTTTTGAGAGAGCACTGCTTAGGTGTTTTTTTGATGAGAAATGAAACTGACGTCGCATATATGTGTTTGATTGTTTTTTTTCCTTGAGGTGAAGGCATCATGTTTTGAAGCCCCCTTCCATATTTTCCAAATCGAAGGTCTCAAGCCTTTTTCCTTCCAAGGATCTGGAAGTTCGGGTTGAAGAATTGCACTCTGTGAGCATGTTAGAGCTTCTGGGAGCCGCGAGGTCCCACAACTCCATGGCAGACTTCTGCGTGAGCATGCACATCAACAGGGCTGATACCTACAACTTCCCGGAGACTTGGTGCATCCCCAAGTAATGCATGGAGTGGGAGTGAATCCCCAACTTCCATTTGGTTTAGAATATGTTTTATTTTCCCCTGTTAGGGAATCTATCACTACTGGAATATATGTTTATTTTTCCTGGGGCCTCAACCTGCGGCAAAATGACGCCGGGCCAAAACCACCCAATTCTCCCAGAAATTCAATGCATCCCACCCTCTAAGCAAGGTCCGGTTTCGTTGTGGGTTCCCAAAATGAAGTCAAGCCCAAACTAGGTCCAGTTCTTTTTCTAGGCTCACAAGACAACTGGGGGCTTACGTGGTTTACCGTTGAAGAAGGGATAAATACGCTTGCGGATTCCCTTGAAAGGGCAACCGGCTGAGCCACGAGCAACTCACGAATTACCTCTACACAACTATAGGAGCAAGTGGCAAGATGTGTGGCAGCTGTCGCTATCCTTGGACGAGAAGGGGGCGGGCCCAAATTTCTCAAACTTCAGGGGACCAGAGCACCAGATTCCCACGTTTGGAGAAAAACCACATCCCGCCAGGACCAATATGAGAAAAGGTGAGTCGACCGTGCAAACAAATTATTGTCAGGTGCCTGGACCTTCATTCGTTACATAAATTTGTGTCCCTTGGGCGTTTTGTGGCAGAAACTTGCTAGTTCGGCGTTTTTCGGGCAATGGGCGCCAATTTGGATTCGATCATTGTTGGCTGTTGCGGTGGCTTCTCATATAGTTGGCTGCGTGGAAACATGTGGAAACATACCTTGCAAAAAGGGTGCAAATACCGGAAAACGGGTGCAACTACGCGCAACACAAGCGCAAATACCCGCAAAACGGGCGCAAATACCCGCACAACGAGCGCAAATCCAAATCATGTAACATTGGTACTTTGCAAGGCCGTGTTCATGAAATGAGTGTTTTTTGGGGAACGAGCACTTTTTGGATTATTGGGCAACCATCGTGCATTTTGTTCGTGACGCAAATTTGTGTAACAATGGAAGGTCCAGGTGACTTCCGGGTATCTGAAAGCCCCTGCAAGAGCGCCAAGTAGTCACCATCAGACAGGGCTGTCAAGTATCACACCAAGGTTTGCAATTGCGCCCAACGGGGAAATTACGTTGTGGCCTTCCAGCAAAGCCTCGTTAGTCTACAACATGTTGGGTCACATGGGTGAGATCGTAGGGTGTACTTCAAAGGCCCTGGATTAGGGTAGCGTGGCAATTCAGGGCACGAGCTACAATGTATCGTGCGTTTGTTGCTTAGATGTTCTAGCAGGGATAGCAGCCGTAACTGGATTCACCCCCAGAGAACCCCATGAACAGCATCAAAACTTATAACTGACATTACATGCAATTTTGCTAATCGCCAGGCCAGGTCAGAGCGACAAGACCGCAAGGCCTTGTTTCTTGGTCGGCGCGGGCTGCGGGCTTGCTGGCAGAAGCCCAGTTCTCCTCGAGATGATCGCGTAATCCTGAATACGCCTGCAACTGCCCATATGGGGACCGTACATTTTCGGTTGACCATGCCACACGTTCAGAGCAGGCTACCCCCCAACTAGTTTGGCTTGCCCGGTTCTTGGAATTAGTGGGAATCCACCCCCTAACATTTGCAGATGAATGCATCTCCTTTTGCGTATGGGTTTTTTCTGTTAGTTTGTCGGGGAGTAACCCCCACGCGGGACTGAGGACAACTTTGACGCGCCGCTCACGGAGGTGGGCCGGCAGCAGGCCGCGCAGTTGCAGAGCTACGCCAAGACCACCACCCCGCAGCTGGTGGCGGTGTCTCCTATGAGCGCCGTCCCCGGCAGGCGAAATCGATATGTTTTTCTTGGCGGTCGCCAGCCGTGCTCTTCGGCTTTGAGATCTTCGAGTTTCCATGTAAGCAAAAGTTGAACTTTCAGCGGGGATCGATCTGGGGACAATCCAGATGTGGGTAAATCGCCTCAGGTGCTAAAGGGAGGGCACGCACTGTTCCATACCTGCCCACAGAATCAAGCAGGGAGCCAGCTTGCACCATTGCAAGCTCCACTCACCGAGTTCGACCGAGGCCGCGCTTTAATGACTGCCAACATCGCCTATGGCCACCTCATCGGCAAGGCGCCTGTAGCTGATTCGAAGACTTGAAGCCTTGCATCTAACCCGGACCTTTAACAGGGGTTTTCCAAGGTTTTCCCTTCTACTACTAGCAGCCCCCAAAACGGATGCAGGTGATGCAGGTGTTTTTGTTGGTTCCAATGGCCACTGGGGGCATGGGTCACTCCTGAAAATCAGGGGCGACAGTTCACTCAAATGCCCCCCCAATGTCAGGAGAACCCTTGAGGAGGGCGGTGGATCCCAAGACCCACCAAACAGAACTCAGCCCTGTCGCCCGGAACCCTCCTGTGAAAGGGCCGATCGACCAAATCCATGGCTTTCAGAAATCAACCAGCCAAAAGCGGTTGGGGAACCCCATTCGTTTAATACTTCTCGGGCGTTTGGGCCACCGAAAAAAAAATCCAAGATTCGACTCCCCGAAGGCCTCCGGGGACCTGGGATGTTTCACAGTGACT